AGTTGCAATGTCGGTTCGAGGACGGTCCTTCCCTCTCGAGAAAGGCAGAGAATCTTTGAAACTCCTTACTGCAGAAGAGGTGAAACAGTCAGAAGAGTTGCTTTAAATGCCGCTTGAGTGTGGATTTGAATACGCGGTGGAGTCTAGCGTCAGTATTAGGACCGCTTGATAAACAGTGATGATACATATGTCCCTTCCGCATGTGGGACAGGGATCCCACTGCGTTTTACTAAAGATGATGAAGCGTGGTATGAACCAAAAGGAAAGAAGCCTTTTTCATAGGCATGTTGTAAGTTCTTGGGGGCAAGACATCGAGAACCCCAACACCCAAGTGGGAAATACCTTCGCATCAACTCAGAGCCAAAATACATAACTAGGCCTCTTAAAAACACTTCTATGATCAACAACAGGTGTAAACACCTTAGTTAAAAGAATTTGACATTTGTCTGAGCGGTGACAGATTGAGTCCTGAAACTGAGTAAAGTGCCACGGGAATACCCAACAGGAGGATTTCGTAACAGCACTGAGGCAATCTTCAATTCACTTCGCTCATGCAACGCAAAACGGTGTGACGAGGTAACTCGAACTAGTATGTACCGTACAAATACGTGCTAGTAATACAACTGATAAAACGCTTAAGAAAGGCACTTACCATATCGTATGTGAATCCGGATGCATCAACATTTTCTTTCGAAAGGGTATCTGTAGCATCCGTAGCATCAGTAGCTGCTACCGCACCTGCGTCCACCAACTTAGCTTTCTTTTTCTTTTTCTTCGTAGAGAACGAAAGTTCATCGTCGAGCTTATCTGCTAACTCGTCAACCTTTTCCTCGTCTAGAGTGACTTTCTTTTTCTTCTTCCCCTTGAATTCTTCAGGAAGTGTCTGAAAGTAACCATTAATTGACATGACTGGAACGTACATCTTCTTTTGGCTCATTTTCTGCAGGTGCATCATCGGATAAATCCAGAGGTTTTGTTTTCTTTTTCTTCTTAATGCCGAAGTTCAGCGGATCGGCAGCGTCACCGGTATCTGCGAGTGGGGCATTTTCGGGAAGGGATTTATTTTTCTTCTTCTTTTTACTTTCAAAGTTTAACGCATCTCCCTGAAAAAACATTGGTAGTATTCGGAGGAACATTTTGTCTAAAACCTACTGGTGGACCATCTGCACTCATCTCGAATGTTTATAACGCGTGTAGCGCACAATTACAAAATACTGCAAAAATTCCAGTTCAGTTCAGTTCAGTTCTCCCAGGACGAATTGTGGCTCTTGCCAATCGCGCGTCCAGTTCTTTGTGTTGTCGGCGGTTTCGTTGGCTTCCAACACTTCGAGTCAATAGTAGTTTCTGAAAGGCAGAATGTTAGTGTGCAGTATCAGATCCCTTATAGTATTTCG